CATGCGCTGAGGTTGATTATGTGGCAGTGTTCAGGGCCAGCATCCTCGCGAGCATCAGCGCTTCATATCAGCTTCTGGTGTTGCTAATACGTATGTCCCAGTTGGCATCATTTGCGCAAGTGCAAATAACTGGTTATGTAAACATCCTGCAACTCTTCAACATATGTCTGTGCGTGCAATGTTTGCACATATATTTAGCATCATTTCATGACGTGTCACGCAATAAAATTGCAACAAGGTCACCTTACCTCCACATGCTTCGCATAGCGTCGATTCCCAGGTGCGTGGGATCTGCCGAATATTTAATTTTAGAAAGTGAAAGTTGTACAGTTGCACTGTAGGAAAAGACTTCAAATTTCAAGGGCGTACAGGAAAGGGCTGAACAAAAGTAGCTTAGACTGGGCCTGCATCCCTTACCGTGAGTAGGCATAGTAAAGCGAAGCGGGATACCTCACTGTATCAACAGCGATACAGTAAATACGCAACACTTTGGCAAGTGCTATCAGGAAATCAAGCACGAAAGCTGTAGAGGTAAGGATTACGAAATTACGAATATAAAAATGGGAGATTGTTTACAGCTTAACGGCGCTTATCATATTAATAAGAGAAGTATGCTCTTTCGTTCTGCATTATACTGGTTGTCCCACATAACTTGAGCCAAGAATTTGAAAGTGAAAGGCACTTAGGAGGCAATCGAACCAAGCGCATACTACTCGCACTAGGCCTGTAGGTACTCAGGCTATTTTTATTTCTACCCATACTAATTAATTATTGATTCTTAAAGTATCCTATTTTTCATCTATGGACTGGAAACCCAAAATATAAACACTGAGATGTAAGCACTTTCAGAAACCACCGACTGAATTGTTTCCTGTACGATACATCTAGCGCTGTTATTTTTTTTCGTGTTGTAGAGAAAGCCTATAGCAGCACTATAATATATGGTACACTGTTTCCTTTACTGTGGACCACGTTCGCATTAGCGGAGCTTCCATGCGGCCGATATTTCAGCGCGCTGATGCACGAGAGATCCGTGCATGCCACGGAGGCGTTTGCTCACTCTGAATCGTTTCCTGTTACACGGGTGGCAAAGGTGCCTAACATGGTAATTACGCCGTTCGTGGTGGTTCATAATACTTTGCTTTTCGAACCACCCTCGGTGTGCGTTCGTCTACACAGAAGCTGCAGGAAATGAATGAATGCATTTACTTGCAATAGGAAAGCGATAGGCAAGTGACGGAACCTTTTATTTATTTATTTATTTATTTATTTTATTGGATGCGAAGTTGCCTAGATGACTGGGATATTTGTTTGGAATAGTAGCCCTTACGAAGACGTGGCTTTTAAGAATGAAATACGAAACACGAATGTTTCCGTGATAGAGATCAGTAAATGGTGGTTGAATAATGGTTGACGAGAATGACGAAAACAAAAGATCGCAGACAAAATAGCATGATAACCAAGGTGAATATATCGTAAAATGCGGAAAGTAAAGCTATTGATTTATAGTTATTCTGTAGCCAAAAGACAAATGAAGTAGTCAAGACGTTATGCCAAATTAAAAGTTAACCTAGCTCTCAGGGGTTGCAAATAGAATGCTCTACTATCCGCTCATTCATGCAAGGTCACGCAAAGAAGGCATTGATGTTTGTGGTTATGTGAACAATGCTTGAGTTAGTTACAGTAGACTATAATCTTGGAACTAGATTAGGAACTAATCGAACGAGAAGTGAAGCATCGCAAGCAGCTTACTTATAGCAATCCTCAGGATAGTATCTTGCCAACAGCATGAACGCGATATTGCTGAACTTGCGCTGAAATCCTTTGCAATCTCACTGCTCTGGTATTTGAAGAAGGCAATATAATCGAACGATAATATTTGTCGGGTAGATAACAAGCATGCCGATCCGAACCCGGTGGGGATCCATGCATGAATAGAACTTGCACTTTTAGAACTGATTCATTCGTCTAGCTTAGCTTGAATCAAATACCTTTAGTGCTTCCTGCGATTGGTGATTTAGGCATTGGTCTGTTTTGCTTATAAGAGTACTGTTTGCACAGTCGTTTCATGCATGCTAATATATATGGCATGTTTTTGTGTTTTACTTGCTCTTTGAAATGTTCGACAGTTTTTTTCTCTCATATTTTTCTTTCCTCATTCTCTTCCTTCCTCCGTTGTGCCACTCTATAGGTGGCAGGCAGTCGTTGTGCCACTCTATAGGTGGCAGCTTAGGCGTGCTGTCTCCTTCTCGTGTATTTTTTTTGTATTTGTGAATAATAATAGTAATACCTACATGGTGTGAGCTGAGGGTGTCGAAGTCGTAGTTCGCGAAGTACGTAAGTGTGTAAATGTGGTATAACCTTGATGAACGCAGGGCCACGTGAGCAATAAATTCACAGTCTTGTGATTGTTTATTCTTTTCTAGTAAAGAGAAGCTTTGTCGGCGAACTCACTCCACTTTTCTGACCGTGGCTGTACTCTCGCAGAATAGGCATGTCACACGCGCTCGACGCCATATTCCCGTCACGTTGTGTGTTTAATAGCGTACGCTTTCAATTACGCCAAGGGGTCGTAAATAGTAAAGATAAGGTCTATCTTACCCCGGTTGTCAGAGTCCTACTTACATCAGCATGCATCTTCTGTACGAACCATTCTATCCTCGGCAAACGTCACTGCAGTCTTCATGACATGACTCATTCGTCGTTCCACACCGTGCATTTCTATGAACTGGTGTTTGCACCTCGGCTTCTGAACGTTGGAGCATGTAACATTGCATCCCATCAAACTGTTACTTGTGAGGTACGTGAACATGAAATATTCTATAAGATTACACGTTGCAAGCACAGTTGTCAATGTGCGCATATAGCATTTTGTTTTACAGCATTTAAGTTAGCGCTTAACGAAACTTTACTTCACGGAGATTCCGACATGCGCGCTGGATCAAATTGTTTCCGTTTCTTTCACTGTGAAATGAATAAACTGGACTGTGCCCGGTATAGGGACCACAGCGTTCCTAATGTAGGCAATAAAATGCGTTTTAGATGAAGACAAAATATGTGTTTACATGACATGAAATACCTAGTGGTTTTAGGCTCATCTGCTTCCTGCATAACCACCAACAGATTCGCGAACGTCAACATTGCAATATGTAGGCTCCACAGACAGAGTGAAGGTACAGAAAAAGTTACGTGGGTACATGTTTGCAGTCTGCGAAGTTTAATATTTCACTTCTCTTCTATCTAAGGCAGTTGAAAAAAGCACAATACTAAACACGTGAACCCACTTTGCAATTTGGAGATATATTGGGTGCCTTTTCATCCGCTTTAGCGATAAAGCCAAACATAGGGCAGCATTTTTGGCCAATGAGTGTAGCATTTTGGTTCCTTCTGCAGAACACTGTAGCTTCACGTAGTTCTGGGTCTTCTAAGTGAAGTTCGGGCAGCCGCTGTCAAAGTGTATTGTATATTAGACCTGCGGCTAACATATTGGCGAGTTCGTGATCTGCGAAGTATCGGATTGTGGAATATACATAACTTCAAACACTCTCAGGGAAGGAAAAAGAACGAAGCATTGTGCTTCTTCCCTAGGGTGAAGTTAATTTTCGTAAAGCAGGTACATGCCCCGTGAAAGAGAAGCACACGGCGGCTTATTTCTCAAAAAGCAGAGGCCCTTTTTGTCCTTTCTTTTCATCCGCGTGGCTTACAGATACAAAGCGCGCGTGCATAACTTATGGCTCGCAACTTGGCCGAAGTGTTGGCTCCTGGGTGCCGAGCTATTTACTGCGGCCTGTGGAGCTCTGCTGGCCTGAGAAAGTCGGTGTGGTGTTGATAGCGACTGCGCAGGAATCCAGCGTGCTCGCTCTTCCAAGACGAAATCCAGTCGCCGATAAGCCTAGCGTGGGAAGCGAACCGTTTCGATATACGCTTGCCCGCTACGAGTTCCTTTTTTTTTTCCCTTCCTTTGCCGTGTTTTTTTTTTTCGAGCATGTGCGAAAGTGCAACGTTCCCTGCGATAGAGCTTGAACTGTTGGAAGAAATGATGTTGCTGCTACAGGGCCAGAGGAGATAAGGAAACCAGAGAACGGAGTTCGTTCTTTGGCTGAACTGATTTTGGAGATTTGTTTAGCTTTTTGTAGTTATATCGTAACTGCACTAATGCTATCCCGGTATGAGAAATTATCTGAAGAAACAAAAGAAATACATGGAGCTTTAAGCGTTTGATATAAAATGTACAAAACTCATGTCCCCATGGCAATATGTATTTAAAAGTTGGACGCCCTAAGCACTACTCTCTCGCTTGCCGGCTCTTTCAGACATCTTTAGTGCAGTGGCCTCCTCGCATGTTTTACTTTTGGCTACTTTATTAAAATTGTACTTGTGAGTGCAGTGATGCAGTTCATGAACCGCTGTTGGTGTTCTTTCGCGAATTCCTTAGCGTTCTTCGCAAGAGGAAGTTTCCATCGATCTAGATGCTGGTCCTACTGGTAATGCCGGTTAACCAACAATTTACAAATGAAAACCTCTGCGAATCTGGCCCAGCCTGTTCAGTTTATTATATTTAGTTTAGCCAGGAGTGGAAACAACATCGAATGTCAACACTGTGAGTTACTTTTTTCTATGTTAGGAATAAATGTTAGGATATAACGTTAAATTTTTATAGCTCGAACAAAAAAGTGACGTGACCTTCACATGAATGAGTTTCGGGCTAATTGATTTTGTTGCCTGCTTGTAGATAACTACGGGGTCACATAGTAATGCGAGGTTTCCACAACACACATGAAGAGCATTTCGTCTTCTGTTAAGGCTATACTGATTTCAGCGCACATGCGTGAAAATCTACTCGGTATATACAGTTTTATGTGGTGGTCATTTCTTGTTGTATGATGCTGATGACGAAGGCTGCTCAGGGTTGTCGGTAGAGATTTCATATGTTCAAAATGTAGAGCTGTAGCTGTCCTGATGCCTCGCTAACTTTTATTGCTCTCACTCTATTTTCGCAGGACCATGTCGCCGCTTCGGCTACCGCGATGGCTCGGCAAGCTGCACACTTACGCAATCCTCGCCGGCTGCCTAGCACTTTTCATCCTGTTCAGGTCATTTCATACAGAAGTCCAGGAAGATGACAAAGACATTTTTGACGATGATCTGTTCATCGCGCCTCAGCAGTTTGACAACCACGTCCAGAATGAGGTACTCGCACGCGACGACCTCGACGAGCTCCCCGAGGAAAGTGTGGGCAACGACAATCCCTACGTTCATCCGTACGTTATCGACGCCTCGCACGTTTGTCGGGGCTTCGAAGCCGCGCCGAGGCGCCTGATATTCGTAGCGAGCGCTCCTAGCCACCGAGAGGCGAGGAATGCCATACGTGACACCTGGGGACTCCCCTCCTACGTGGCGCATCGTAATAGCAAGGTAATGTTCCTGCTGGGACGCTCCGCGCACGACATGGAGGTCAAGGCTGAATCTCAGGTCAATGGGGACATCGTGCAAGGCAGTTTTACGGACAGCTACGACAACTTGACGCTCAAGAGCGTCATGATGCTCCACTGGACTCGCTCCTTCTGCCCCAATGTGCAGCACGTGATGAAGACCGATGACGACGTGTACGTGAACCTCGACAACTTGATTCACCACCTGGAGCACGAGATGGCCGACCAAAGACGTTGGATTCAAGGGTGCATCAAGAGGCACGCCGGCGCGCCGCTCCGCTCTGCTGGTGCCGGTCAGCCCGTGAGCCCGGTGGACGTGCGGACATTGCCCAAGGCGCACCCGGACTTTGTGGCGGGAGCGGGGTACGTCATATCCGGGGACCTGGTGGAGGACTTGCTGGTGGTCTCGGCGAGAGTTAAGTGGGTGCCCTTAGAGGACGTGTTTGTGACGGGGCGGTGTGCTGCCGCGGCGGGCGTCAAGCCCGAGACCGACGACAGGTTCAGCTGCGGCCAGCAGGTGAAGGATCCGTGCAAAATGGCCTACGCGTTCACGGGCCACGGAATGACGTCAGATCTGATGAGACGGACGTGGGACGCGATGCTCAGTGGCTGCTCGTGAAAGTAATGCGTGTTGCGAAGCTTCTCGTTGAATGGTTCCTTTTTTCCGCAATGTGGAACAGTGGGGTATTTAAAAGCAGTGACATGTCACGAGACTGAAATACTTAATACCTGAAGCGCTTTTGCAAAGCGCGGGACGTTCATCGGGCGACGTATGAAATACAAGCGATGCGCCGGCATTTCAAGGTTGGACACGGACGGTGTGTGAGTGCTTGTTTGAAGTGTGACGTACGTTCCCATGACGAGTACTGTCAACGCCGTTCTCGTCATCGTTCGATGATTTCGTTTTTGTGTTGTACACTGACACAAAGAAAAATATAGAACGCTATATGGGCGCTTCACTTTCGGCACAGAAAAACTTCGCGAGACAGCCTTGTGAACACGAGTGAGTCATGTGTGGTGATTAAATAATTAGTGTATTGTTGGTAGAAGTCGATGGTCGGTCATTGAATTTACGACCTGATCCAGTATAGAATCGAGGACCAGTATAAAGGGTAATCATGTTGTCTTCGTGTTGTGCTCACTGAATGCTAGAGTGAGTACGTAAGGGCTAATCGGTATAAGAACCTTCCTATCGACCTTCCTATCTGCCCCTCTTTTTAAAATGTGAAGTATCTGGAGACCTCTGCTTTGTCCATTCCTGTCATGGCGTCCTCACCCACACTGCGCATGCACGTCCCCTCCCCCTCTCTCTCCTCTAGGTATACTCTATGGAGCGGCGCGTACGATAGGGGGTCCGTCAGCTGCATACTCGGCTGAGGGCGCCACATTACTTCTGCGGCATAAACTTACTATGGAGCGCGCGCGCCTTCTTATTTCCTGCGCAATGCCGCGGTGTGCGCCAGTGTCAACGCCGCCAACAGTGTCAGCATGTAGGCCTGACCCCACGTATCCGTTGCAGCGCATCGGCGCGTGGCTGTGTGGCGCGGCGCCGCGCCCTCTCGTGGGCGCATAGGTATATGCGAAGCTGCGCGCTTTCTCTCTCCATATGGGAGAGGCTCGGCGCCGCGCAAAGCCGTGTTCAGACTACGTGCGCTACGTATGAATTGTCTGCAAGGACCGTAAGCGTAAACGCAAGCAACGTAAGGAACTCGTTCAGACGTTGTAACTTTCGTAAAAAAAAAAAAAACGTAACGCAAGGGACGTAAATGTTGGTGGGCCCGAGTCATTTACGACAACTACTGATGCGACTGTTACTTACGACCAATGGGCAAAGCAGTTTCGGTTTCCTCTTTCCGTTCACGGGGCTTCCGGCCTCGTCTTGAAAGCCGTGCGGTAGCGTGTCTGTGCACTTAGTTTGCCCGCTGGTTTACCGGGCGAGAGGGCAGACGCTACTTGCGTTAATTAGAAAACTCGTGGTGTCACCCTCTTAACCCGACCAGCCCAGCCATGGCCAAACACGCGAACCACGCTAGGCTACAATTGTAGCCAAGATGCAACGCTCATTCCAAGTGGTTATTGGCACATCGCAAAAAAACAACAAAAACGTATCATACTGAAAAGATCAATGTGAACGCACGTAGTCGCTAGCTACGCAAACAGACGATACAGCTTTTACGCGATACGACTTTTATGACAGATGCGACAGCAGTCTGAACCCGTCTTAAGAAAGACACGCGCCGACGCGCTGCAACGGATACGTGGGGTCAGGCCTTTAGCGCCAGCACAATCGTCAGCGCCGTGGTGAAGACGCAACCACTACGTACAAAACGTCTCTCTCTCTCTTACATTCTCAGTACAACCTTGTTCGTCCTCTCAATGAACTACACCATATCCTACTCAAGCGAACTATCTCCCCGCTGCTTCGCATCCACACATGGTTCTCGTTAGCGAGATATGGTGTAACTTTTCCTGCTCCTTCCTTGGTGGGAATAAGTAGGCTGATAATTACGGGTCAGAAACATTTTCTAGCTTCCTAGTGGGCAAGAAAACCTTCACTGGGCTAGTGTAAAAAAAGTGAGGGAATGAACTGTATTTTCATAATAAATATTGCTGTGTCAATTATGCTTCAGCGAACTGACGATTATCTTCAGATATTGACCTTATAACGCACACGGCTTGTGTATATCGGTGATAAGGTACAGAAATTCTTCATACTACGATATCTGTTCAAACTTCACGAAACTACATCGAGTCCTGTTGAGTTTTATGGCAGTATTGAGAAACATACATTAAAAAAAAAGTGCTCAGCATAAAAATGAGCCCGATTCCACGTCAGTAAACATATGTTATCACTTCATTCCTCCATTATGAGCGCAGGTGACCATTAACTAAGGCATCTTCTGTGACGTTCGAAAACATTTGTGTACATGGTTTGCTTGACGCCACCTGTAATTAAATCGAGTGCGATGGAAAGGGCTTTCCGTAATGGCGCAAGCGAAACTAGCGACCACCGCTTGCGGTAGATGGTGAACCCCATGTCGGCGCGGTAATTGACTGGCCGCTAACCATGCGCATCTCTGCATGTGATGGCCATGCTTTTCGAAGAGGAAATGTGGCAAATGACTGGTGGACGCTTGCCCGGTTGACCGTCCTGTCTTTTACTTCGTTGCCGTGCCTCTCTGGCTTGTAATTATGCAGCATTAGGCTGCCGTGACAGCCTAGAGAAAACGATGGCGTGTGCTTCCATACTATCATGCAAAAAAAGTAGTAACAAGCAAACAATAAATTGCCAATGACAGCCACAGCGTATAAGGCAGGTCAAAAGGAAAACGGCGTGCGTGCACCATTTGTGGAGCTAAATTGTGTTAATGCATAGACTAAGTAGGCACCTTGTCTGTGCAGAAGAGAGAGAGAGAGGGAAAGGCAAGAAGGGCTAACCACGTTGCAAGTGGATTGAGATATACATACTTGAGGCAAGATACGATGCTATAACGAAATTCATGACGATCGACTTTTGGTACAGTGCTTCCGAATCCTTGGAGAGGTGCTAATGAGCAGTTTGTCTGATGAAAATTGGGCATTTTCACTGTCAGGGAATTCCGAGTCATGACGTTTGGCCACTTCAGTCAAGTTATTCACGGTAGAAACCGTTCATGGTTCAACATCGCTAGACAATACATTTTATGCAAGGCAAGATCGTGTGGTCCACGTATTGAAGTGTCTATACCCATAAAAAAATGTGACCAGCGTTCGCTGAAAATTTGTTTTAATGTTAAATAAAGGAATTGAATATTGGGTATTCTTCCCGCGTTTTCAACTGCCACACTGATAGTCAGTGGTAGATGACAAAGTTTGCGAATGTGATCCCATAACTGTAAACATTTTAGCTTTCGTTGATGCTGCACAGAATTGACGAGACATCTCAAAAGAAGGTCTGCGTTGTCTCCCTTGGCGGCTCGTGTTTATTCTATTCGTGTCGCGAGAGCTGATGAGCTTGGCTTCCCCAAATAGACGCTTGGGGCCTCCTTTTTGTGCAGCCGCCAGCTCATGTATGGGCAACAGCGGAAGAAGGGAAGGGCGTGAAGGTTTTGCTGACGCATAAAACAAAGGAGAAACAGGCGAGGTAGGCAGAGTGCTAAAAACGGAAACGAAGTGAAAGTGTTTCATAGGAGGCCATGTGCGTTGACGAAATACGAGCGATTCATGAATGGACTTGTAGTTTTGTACGAAACTTATGAGCTGCCTTTGCAATGAGTAGTTCTTTATCGTGGGCTTGTCTTCAGTTTTCTCGCTGTAAATCATGTGATGCGGATTGGTGCGCCTATAGCTCGAGATTGGCTTGCAGCACAATGCGCTTGTTGAAGTTGTACAAACAGCGTTGACCATCTGAAGCGACTCGTGCCCCATTATACAACGTAAAGAGCAGTGACAACATCGAAAAAATTAACTCTGAGTACCTTGCATCAAGTGAGAAGGGCCCATTAAGGTAAGTAATCACCTTCGAGGAAATAGTTTTTGTTTGAAAATTATAATTATGGTTTCAGCTTGTGGGTTATTTTTATCCTGCGTGTATGATCGTTCGATTTCTCATTTTCTCTCCCATTCTCTACACACTCTTTGCCATACTTCCCCAACCCAGTGCTGGGCAGCAAACCGGGTGCTGGTATCAGGTTAACCTCCCTGCTTTCCTCTTCATATATATCTCTCTTTTTAAACCTTAAGAGCATGAAACTGCCAAAAGTGTAAAAATATATAATTTATAAAAATCTAAATGTGCCAAAATAAGCATGTTGGTGCAATAGTCATAGCTAAAAAAAAAAACTTTTGGTGCTACTAAAACGCGACTTTGCAGGTAGGTAGTGAGTACAATATCCTGTGCATCTAAGCCAGTGGCGTAACCAGGGAGTCACACATAGGGCCAATAACCCCCCCCCCCCCCCTCCCGTCCGAATATTTTTCACCATGGCGAACAGAGCGAGAAAGGGCTTATTCAAGGGGTGACCCCCCCCCCTTCTCTTTCGGAAAAAAAGTTTCTGCTTACGCCTCTGCTCCATGGTCACCATATGTCGAAGCTAAGGTGCCTTATCTTAAGAAGACTGATGAAGTTGATATTTGGCAGGTTTGTTTTGCACACAATTGGACATAGCACAAAAAGTTACCTCGTAAGCATATAGAACTACGAAAGTACTCAAAACACGTTACCATGGGCGACGGATAGTAGCTTGGTGAAATATCTCGTATAGTATCAGGCAAAGGCGCCCATGTGTCTGGACAGGGGAAGAAATGTAAAAAAAAGGGGGGGAATTAGATGAGACAGTGCGCAAGTTGGTATACGAAAGCTTGCAGTAAACACAAGCATTGTGCCCGCGTCAAATGCATCACAACTTGGTGGAGCGCTTTTTCGAATATGCATCCGAGTCGCCGATGGCGCCAGAACTCAAAGCAAAGAATTTAAATTCGGGGAGGACTAGCGGGTGGTTGGGGCACTGCCTAGGCGAAAAAAGAAAATCACAAGAAGTAAGAGGGGGGGGGGGGGTAGTTATGCCCCCGCAGGAGTTCCGCACGTCAGATACCAACCGAATGGAACCGCAGTTGCGTGAAGAATAAAGAGAAACTTCGGAGCAGCACACTCTCTATAGGCGTCTCAAACATGCCGCCCGCACATGACTGTCTTCGCCCCACAATTATGTACTATGCGTGCTACGCAGACATGACTGGTTCGAGCCATTGTTTTCGTAAGGCAGCTCGTGTGGTTGTCGTGTGCTGAAGCATAACCGGTGAAACAAAAACTGCATTACTAAATCGATGCCCCGATACATATTCATTAAGGTGACCCCAATCGGCATGTTGGAATCCTGTCACCAAGTATCCTTCAGAAATGACCCGTATATTAGATATGAAAAATTCTTTTGTATACTTTTAATGGTAGCGTTAGCTAACATTTCGTACAAACTCCTCCCCCTCCCTCTGCTTTTACCTCCTTCTCTGTTCTAGATTCATCAGTGGGGCCCGCTGATGGAGGTCAGTTTAAGACCTCTGCTGTATAAGG